AGTGGAAAGTATCAAAGACAAAACAAATACCGCCAACAATTTTCAAATAAAATTGATGTTTTTGCCAGCCATTCCACCTGAAAATGGTTGTGTCCAGGGGTGTTTACTTTTCAATGTGGAAAGTATCAAAGACAAAACAAATAGCGCCAGCAATGTTCCAATAAAATTGATGATTTTGCCAGCCATTCCACCTGAAAATGGTTGTGTCCAGGGGTGTTTGCTTTTCAATATGGAAAGTATCAAAAACAAAACAAATAGCACCAGCAATGCTCAATAAAATTTATGTTTTTGCCAGCCTTTCCACTTGAAAATGGTTGTGTTCAGGGGTGTTTGCTTTTCAATGTGGAATGTATCAAAGACAAAACAAATAGCGCCAGCAATGTTCCAATAAAATTGATGTTTTTGCCAGCCATTCCACCTGAAGGAGAGACTTTAATTTTGAATTGCCTCTTTTATTTTAAAGGAGACTTCTTTCTTTGTTCATTGTTTTCTAATAATCATTGTTACATAGCAGACATGCCAATACATGTACATGCACACATGCAGGCCCAAGATTCGTTTATACCTGGCAACCTTGAATGAAACACAGGGAAATAAGCAACTACTGTCTCACCCATCATTGGTCGCAGCATTCATTATATAGTGTGGTGAAGTGAGAGAAATTATTATCATTTATTTGCTGTTAGTCTTACTGCAAAGGTTTCCGCTCTAGAAATGAGGTTGAAATAATTGAGATACAATGTATGTGCCATACATGTAGTTGAATTTTTTAGTATCTGAATTAGGAACTGATTCAAAAGAAAGTGAGTAAAACAAACCAGTGCAAATTAAATCACTTCGCAGTATAAAAGTTCTCTTTTAGAAGTACATATTCTTCATCTAAATGACCAAGTAGAACAAATTCTACCAAAACAAACATTTTTTGCTTGCATGTACCTGTAGTGTACATTTAATGTATATAGAGAGAATACATATAATGCTATGCTGCTGAAACCATCACGATATTAGATTTGGGGGGCCTGGTATTCTATTCTTTCTGCTCGACCTGTGTTTAATAATTTCATATTAAAATATCTCACTGTGACTCATGTGAAATATTAGCTGCTACACTATTACACAAATTTGCTACAGTGAAAATAAGACTAATACAAATATATCAACTAACTAAATAATAATTAATAAATACTAAAAATAACTGTTTTAAAAGCAATTTATTCTGATTACTTTATAATGTAGAATTGAAGGATTATATATACAAGTATATCTTTACATTGTTCTTTCAAGTCTTGGTCCCTTAATTGTTTCATTTTATTTTTCATTTCCAGATACATCAAGTACTTTGTATGATTGAAGACGTCACAAAGACACTCAACTCATTCGTATTTTGGATTTTTAATGAAACAATTTGATTTTTTAATGTGAGAAACACTTCGCAAGATGCCAAGGTACGGGACCAAAACGTACAGCCGTAAAGGCAAGGACTCAGTTACCAGTAACGATTTTGATGACATATTCACTGAAAGCGGCAAAAAAGGTAATATGCCGACAAAAACTGCATCTACACACCAGCGATGGGGTAATATGACATATACAAGCAGTCGTTTGACGAGAAAAACTGCTTCGGAAATGCAAGCAAGAGAGGAACAGCCCCAGCCAATGGTGTCTCCGAAACGGAGGCGACTCACTGATGATTCAGGAGACCCCTTCAGCTTTGAGAGTGATGATGAAAGAGTGTCACCTAGGAGGAAGAACAGACAACCCCCTCCAGAGAGCCCTCAAAGAAGAAGTCAGATGATGAGCGATAAAAGTAAAGTGCTAACCAATCTTAAGCAAGGTCTACGTTCTAGCGCTGAGAATACAAAAATTAATCTCACAACTTCAATTCACAAGGTGGAAAAAGAGATCGTCACCAGCAAAGCCAAAGCATCAAGTTCAAAACCAAAACCGCCTGCTAAAGTTGCTGAGCTGAGATCCAAAAATATTGATTCAAAGTCAAAGGTTGTACTTGCCGACGCAAAATCAAAGAGTATGGATTTAAATGTGCGACCCACTGACCCAAGGTCAAAGGTATTGGATACAAAGCTGAAGGTTGTGGATAAAAAAGTTGATGTGTCAGCAAAGATCATGGAAACAAAGGCGAAAGTTTTGGATAAAAAATTCAAACCTGCTGACTCAGGCTTAAACGTTGTAGAGACATTGTCTAAATTTATCGGGGAAAAATCTACGAGTGATGTCACATCCAAGACACTTGGCAATAAGCTTTTACATTCTTCAAAAGAAGCAGTGTCACTCAGTATCGAAACAAAGGTTGGGGAGACCAATTCTAAAAGACTGGATTCAAAATCAAAAACAAAATCAGAGCTTATTAACAAGTTTTCTTCAAAGCACAAGTTTGTTGCTAGTAATAAATGCGTTTCCAACTCTAACAGTTATGATCTTATAACCATTCCCATGGAATCTATTATCTCAGTGAAGCCCAAGAGACAGGTTACTCTTGATAGATTTACACACAAGCCAGCCAAAGAACTGGACGGCATTAGGACCCAAGAGGAGCATGCCTATGCACAGAAATCGCCACCAAAAGAGAAAACACAGGGTATAATGCACCTTATGGAGGAAGAACATGCATATGCACAAAAGCCACTGCCAAATAAAATGGAAGAGGAACATGCATATGCCCAAAGACCACAGAAACAGTGTATTATATTAAATCCAACAGATTACAGGACTAATTCTCATGCAAAAGCCAACTCCAAGCAAGTGAACAGCAATTCTATGGCTAAAACAAATTCTCAGAAATCAAGTTCTGGACTTAAAACTCTTTCGAATCCTGGTTCCAAAACTTCAACACATTCTGTGACTACAGTGAAAACGACGATGACTAAAAGTCTGCCACGGACCAGCTCTGCACCTTCTATGTCATCATTAACATCAGCCAGTCATAACTCAGGGAAAGATGCGTACGATTTTGATGATGCTGATGACGACTTTGTCGGAACTGTCAAGCGAGTGAAAGTAATGAAAACTTACAGCAGGCATGGGTCATCATCGTCACTGAAGCTTTCTGGAAATGCAGGGGGAAGTCAAATACTTGCGTCATCACAAACCAGCACAGGAAGTACGGCACTGTCCCCGTCCCCGTCATCCTCACAGTCATCCACACAGTCATCAACACAGGATACGTATAAATTTGATGACTCAGATGACAGCGATACGTGTATACCAAGTTCCAGTGCCGATGAGCAAATTATTAGAAAGGTCCGGCCTATGAGGACAAATCGATTCAATACGTTCACATCCTCCATATCAGGTAGTAAAATAAAGAAGAATTTAACTGAGCAAAAACCAAGTCCAAAAAAGGTAAGAAATACAGTTACTCATCAATATATATCCGCTATAATTTTTTTTTTATTCAATCAGAATGGTTAAGAGTACATGAAAATCACTGACTCACTTGCCTAAAGAACCCTATAACAATATTTTTATGTCTTGTTATGAAATTAAAAAGTACCACTGTACCTTACAGTAATTCTGGTAAATCTGTTAAAACCAAAATCATTTTTAGATATTTTTTTTTTTAAATTGTGCATTTATTTTTATTTTTATCATGAAAAATGAACAAAACCTGTTACGTGCCCAGTTTTAACAAACATGAATATTTTTTTTTCTGGGCCTTACAGAGTACACTGCTATTGTAGTACAATCTTTTAACTGCCAAATTGTTTGCAGTTGTTCATGCATTATGCAATTCTCTCAGACTTCACAATATATTGTTGGTACATAAAATGTATACTGTGGAAGCATAGAAAAATAGATCTTTGCAGTAAAACGGTTATTTAAAGACACTTGTTATATATAAATATATATATTATTTTTCTATATCTTATTGTATTGACTGTTTGATTTATTTCTCTAATTTAACCATCGTTAATGTACATATTAACTGCTATGTTTGACATAACATGTACATGTATGTTGACATGAAATCTGAATACATGCTTTTCATGGCTCGAAATTAACTAGGCTCAAGATGCACAGACTACCAAATCTTGTCCTAGGGCTACCATTTACCTAAAATAGTATTACAAATTTTACAAAATTATTCATACTTTAAATTTTAGGTAAACCAATTTGTCACCAAATTTTGGGTGTCCAATACAAATTGAAATTGAAACTTTTCTGTATGGCTGTAAGTTGCTACTAAACTTGATATAAATGGTGGCAGAGCAGAGTTCTAAAAATTGTGTAATTTCGAGCTCTGTGTTTATACCACGCCCACCTTGTTTTTATATGCTCATTAAGGCGTATTGTGTGTATATTTTTAAAGATATTGGTAAAATTTGTCTTGAAATTGTTTTTTTCTTTTTGTGGACAGTAACTCTGATCATCTTGAAAGTATTATCAATTTGAACATGCCATCGGCCATTTTTCAGGCACGTTTTGGGTCAATTATATTCTAACTTTGTAATGATATCACTCTTAGTTGGTTACTAATTTGTAGTCATATTGTTTACATATATACATGTATATATTCATAGCGTGCGCTCTAAGCCGATATGGCCTACCACTGATGCACAAAGATTTGATGTGACGCAATTAGTTGTGCTAATGATGCAACACAAAATTGTACATTAATATTGTGATCTTGAAAAAAATCTTACTATTAAATTTGTATTCATGTTTTTTAAACAAAACAAGTGTGAAAAAAAAGGAAATCAGGGGGCACAACATTTTTGTTTGTGCCTTAAGTCACCTATACAGTTGCATACAATTTCATTTTTTTTTTCATGATAACCATCCGGCCAAGCAGTCAATAAGCTTGATTTTCGGGATTTCATTTTAGCTCAAAATTTCACCAAAATCAGTCATGTTTGAGTTTACACTGCATTGCCCCATGCACAGCTCTGAATGGAGGTTATTTACTTACCACATTTTATGTTTACTTTGGGTTTGATTATTTACAGACTCCAACGAAAGCTGTTTACAATGCTAGACCATGGCAGGCTAACACAGTAAGTCAAATATATTATTAAGCTGCTTGTTTGTGGTACATTATATTACTAAGAAAACTAAGATAGTAAATATTTTATCGCTATATACTGTAAAATACTTTATTTTCGCTTGGAATTTATTTTTGCTATTTTCGCTGAAGGAATGATTTAATGAAAATAAAATCAGGCAAATGTACTTTTTTCATATATTTTACATTGAAAATAAATTCAATACAAAACACCTAAAATGTCTTTTCAGCGAAAATTAATTCCAGCTAAAATAAAGTATTCTACAGTATATGTGGTATGGTCGAGAAACTGGAAGTACATTGTGTCTGTCTGGGCTTGAACTTGACATAGGCATCAAGGGCAATTGCTTTGGTGCCCAAAGAGTTTGCCTTGTACCCTTGATAAACAGATTTTTCCCTATCCTATCCTATTCATATACGCTGTAGCATTTTTATTAAATATTGCTTTAAAATTGGGTGCCCTCTGTACTTGAGATGTTTTTATTGCTCTCATAGCCACATGATATGCTTTGATTTTAATGTACATTTATGTGTTTGTAGTTCAAGTTCATCGTAATTCAATTCTTGATATCTCAAAAAAACACATGTCTGTTCAGTTTTGGCAGCAATCACATAATTTTAGAATTAATTTGTTTTCAATGAAGATACTAATCACTGAATTACTGTTCTTTGTTTACTGAGTAATTGTATTAGGTTGTACCCAATAATAATAATAATGTTTTTATTGCATACTTAGAAATAACATTTTCTTTTGATTAATAGCACTATGTATATAAAATTAATATAATAGTGAAAGAGAGTAAGTCAGTATTACAAATCAAGAGAATGCTCATTTCTTAAAATTTCGTGAATAAAATCACCTCATAGCTTAAAGCGCGAGGGGGGGGTGGATGATCGTCACCTGCGCACACACGAGAATTGAGTCCCAAGCGACGATAATGCTGAAAAGGCAAAGGCTCATGGGTGGACACTTGTTTGTAAACAATGACACGCTATGGCCATCTGACGCATGAGCAGGTGACAACTCCCCCGCTTTAATTGTATTTTTGTCACCACTTTTCATTAAATAAATGAATTTCTGCAGATTAGTGATGATTTCTTTTGGGAATATAATATTGGAGTGTTTCTTTTCTGTCTATTTGGTATTTTGGACATACCAAAATGAAGTGTACATGTATGTTTACAAATCCTATTTCCTGTTTTTGGATGGGTGTGTTTTCCTTTTTCAATGGCTTAACTGTGATTACTTGTTCTGAATCTAGTTACAGAAATTCTCTTATTTGTATGTAGTCTTTAAAATTGTTATTGATTTTAGTGTATGTTCTAAATTTTATACTTTGCTGTGACAGTGGAGAGGTTATATTTTGTAACACTCTCTGGTCATTTAATGCTACTTTTGCATAATTATTTAGTGGCATATTTACCGGTATTAATCATGATCAAAATTTGATCATGTTTATTTTAAAATCGACTATCAAAGGGATTTCTCCTATTTCACTCCAAGATGCATTATTTGCTGTGTATAGTTAATATCTAGCAATACTTTAATAAATTTAAGATGAATTTTCTGTTTTGTTTTTTTCCTATTTATATGTATTACATGTATTACTTATATTTTCCATCCCCCAAATTTCAGATCCGTAAAAGAATTGGTTTAATACATGTATTAAAAAAATGAATATATAATGGAAATCTGTTTCTTTTGGCAATGACTTTTTTAGCACATACATTGCTTTGATAGCTTTATCTCTAGCCTCAGAGAATCTTCCATTTCATTGAAAGATTATCCCAACATAGTTGTATGAGTTCACACAAAGTTTTACTTTTTGGTTTGCCACAATGCAAATTTCTTTGCCAAACTTTTCCCATGATGCAATGCAGAAAACTGGGGGGGGGGGGGGGGTCACACCCATTTGTATTCAAGATACCTTATTTGCTCTACTAAACAATTAATTACATTTGTTATAAACTGAATAATTCAAATATTACTTCTTTTGGCCATAGACACAGTTGATGTTCACAGAGGCACATACTAATGGAACAAATACAATTCTGAGAATTCTACCTCCATCAAGTGATTATTTATTCATCTTACCCCAAGGCAGCAACTTATGATTCTTTTCACTATACATTGTTACTATATATATATTTGTAGTATACGGATGCTAACCTGATTTCACAGAATATTACCTACCTAGTGCCCAATGACAGTTTTAGAGAGAAAAAATATGAAACATACTCCTGTTTAATCGAGTGACACAGCCTTCAACCGCTAAGTGTGCACATCATCATCATGTTGATTCCATAAAAATATCTATCACAAGTTAGCTGGCTAGTTAGTAATTATCTTACTAGCTAAAAGGACAATAGTTATTAATCTACTTTCAATATAATTTCAGAGGTTTCACAAACACTTAATAGCAGGCCATCATCCAGTAACAACAGGCCAGTAAATAAATAAAAAGGCTCTCGGCAGTGTGGAGCGCTGCAGCGAGGCCGACGTAGGCAGTCAGGGGAGAAAGTAGATGGCCAATTTGGGTTTGTAGCTGGCCATATTAACGAAACCCCAGAATTTAAACCCAACAACTGGTCAATGGTAGTATAGTGGCATACCTACCTGGGGTTGAACAGCAAAAATTGATTGACCCCCACCTTGAGTGAATGTACCAAAGACTCAAAGGGGAGGCTAAATCTGAGATTCATTCACCAACAAATATGTTTTTTTAAGGAACCTTGGTTAAGATTCATAGGTGCTTGTGTATGACCAGACCTGGTTGACACAAGGATAGGGCATTAAATTACCATAATGCATGTTTAGACATGCATTTATAATGTATTTACCTCATCGGCATCTGTTAATAGCCAGTTCACAACTTTTAATGGTTTCTTTCTTTACAGAAAACTGTAACAGAAAACGATTCGGAAGATGAAGAGGACACCTTGTCGGAACTAAATAATCCAGTGCCATCGACATCGAGTCCAGGTCTTGTGAGATCGGTATCCTATCCAACAAAGCTGTATGATGATGCTGTCACATCAATTAAGTGCAATAAGCAAGCAAAACCAGTAAGTATATCCTGTGTCAGAATAATTGAAATATTGTATTCTTTAGGACCCCAGTAAAATATTGACTGACTATGTGTCTTTAGGACTCTAGTGAAATCTTCACAGTGAACTCTGTTGTTCTAGTTATATCAGTTATTCCATGTTGCACCTTACCACAGATTTGGCACCTTCTTCAATGTACACCACTGAAATTGTAACAGTGGACTAACTAACAATCCCAAAATAGACATATAACATTGGCCAATAATTGAACTACCATTAGAATTGTTATTAAAATTGCTCAAAACAGAATTGAAGGCAGGATTATGTGTAAGCCTGGTTCACTAATTTAGATCCATGTAAGATCAGCTCAATCTTTTTTTTTTATACATAGCTATATACAGTTGTGAAGCATGTGAAACAGGCACATCAGTGCCAGGAAATTGGAGAAAGCCAGCAGTTTATTGACGATATAGAATATCTACTGGATGGTCTAAATGATACGGAAACCATGGCAACAAGATGCCTTAGGTAAGAATGAAAAGATTATGACACATGGTTTCTGTGCTGTGTATTTGATTTCATCCAAAATTCCTGTTTGTTATAAGTATACAGCATCATAAAAAGGTCAATGGTGGCATTTGTTGCACATATTTCTGGAAAAAGAAAGAAATATTAATGGTCAGTTCACTTCTGTATTCAGTCACCTGTTATCAATTTGACCTTTCAATCATCGCTTTTGGCCAGTTTGACCTTTCAAACACTTTTGACCAGTTTGATTATTCAATCACTTTTGGCCAGTTTGACCATTCAATCATCTTCGCCCAGTTTGACCTTTAAATCACCTTTGGCCAGTTTGACCTTTAAATCATCTTTGGCCAGTTTGACCTTTAAATCACCTTTGGCCAGTTTGACCTTTAAATCACCTTTGGCCAGTTTGACCTTTAAATCACCTTTGGCCAGTTTGACCTTTAAATCACCTTTGGCTAGCTTGACCTTTAAATCACCTTTGGTCAGACATCTCATTAACATAAATTTTGAACCAATTTCTTCATGAGATACCACCTAGGATTTATCCATTGTTTACACTCACCACAACTGACTGACTGAATATTAAACCTACATTTATTTCAGTGCTGTTGAATTGGCTGGTAAATGTGCTGTGTCGTCATTTCGTATGCATCTCAGAGCACATGGCATGGCCGCAAAGATATTTACTGCTGTTCATGATGCTGCTACAAATCCAGTAAGTCTGAATTGATTTTCATCTTGTCTTTCATTAGTTGACAAATTGTGAAGTTTAGGATTGATGTCATATATTGGTACCTATAATACAGTCAAACATTAAACTAGCTTTGAAAAAAAAATCATGTATTTAAATATTACAAATCAATATACATCTCTCACCGTAACACCATAAGTTACAGCGTGCCATAATTTTGCGACATTGCACTGGGTATTTTCATCCTACCATATTAGGAAACGTGAATTCCAAATATGGAATGATTACACACATAAGCAACTTCTAATACCAATAAAAACAAACATGGCTGACCCCCCAGGGTTTTTCCCGACCCCACACAAAGTAGTTCGCTAAATCTGTTCTAAACATTTTGGGTTTTGGCATTCCCATGATGTATTCCTTGGAGAAAAAGATGTATAATAATGCGATTATTTTGAGGATACTGCAAAGTATGCACTCAGACAGTACGTGGTCGCATCAACCTTTGCGCGTACTGTATTCGTGCATACTTTGCAGTATCTTTGTAATAACCTCATAGTATTAAACATTCATGTATTTAATAATTTGTTCTTGTTAATAAGTGCCCAAAATGCCAGTGAAAAGCTTTTTATAAGATTTGCGTCTGTGTTTGTGACTATTTGCATTCCGTCAAATGTTATATTGTCGTCATGTTCGCTGAATTTTTGTGTTTCAGAGTTTAGCAATGTGTACGTCTGCATTAATGCATATGCTCAGCAAGGATAGACTGAATATGGACCTGGATCAGAAAAGTCTGGGACTACTAGTCAAATTACTCTCAGTCGATCCAAGAACATCGCCAAGTAAATTAAGCAAAGAGTACAACAGAACAAAAGAAAAGGTGCGGAGTATATACAAGAAACTTCCAAGTGCTATGGTGAAAGGCCTTGACCTCAACAATTTAACGGTGAGTATCTGTGCCTCTTGTGAAATTATGTGTCAGTTTTTTTCCAAATCACGTAATAATATAAATATCATCTCCATGAACGCCTTTGCATAGATTTTACAAAATTACATGCCATAAATATTTACAGTGACACATTGCTTTGTTAAAGTTAAACATCACAACTTGGGTTATAATATTTTGCACTGAATTTAATAAAATCAATTCCCAATAAAAAATAAACTATAGTGAATCACACTAAAACTTGTAAATGCACACTGGATCGGTGGTACACAGTTTCCCAAAGTAAATTCCCAAATGTTTGCATTCCACTATGATACTGATAGCAATGTAATTATAAAATAATGCTGTAATTCATAGCATCTCATTGACCTCATTAAAAGCGAATTAGTAAAAACGGCAGAGTTCCCAAAATCTCTGGAAGACATTGTAGCTCCTCGGAGATACTGGACTGGAAACTGCTGGTTTGATTTTGATCACTTCTATTAGCAAACTTGTATCTGCACTAGTTCAAGATTCAGCTAATTATGATTACCTTAATTAATGATTCTAATTTGTCAACATGATCATACATCTATTTCAATGTACATTTTATTTTCCAGTAAACTAATAAACCAGTATTGGCTAATACAACTATGTCTTTGAACTTATCTTGTTCCTCTTTACATTACATTCAGTTCTACCAGCTACTGACATTTCTGTTTTGATTTTTTTTCAATAGACAAGTTGTCTTGCTTTAGAGTCATTATTGTCTTTGATAGCTATGAAATCAGGTGAATGGTTTAAAGAAGAGTTAAGGAAAGTTGATGGTTTGGACTATTTTGTTCACACAGGTGAGATCACACACATACTCGTAACATATTGTCCATATATTGGTTACGTATCTACAGTCAGTGAGGTAGTCATCTACTGCACATGCTACAGATGATCATAGCATGTTGTTTACAAACAAGTGTCTACCCATGAGCCTTTGCGTTTTAGCATAAGTTGTTATCGTAGTTCGGGGCTCAATTCTCATGTGCACGCAGGTGATGGCCCCTGTGCTTTAAAGCGGAGTGGTCGTCACCTGTGCACACGTGGGAATTGAGTCCCAAGCTACGATAACAACATACTCTAAAAACACAAAGATCCATGGGTGGACGTTTGTGTGTAAACAGCACTATGACCTTCTGCCGCATGTGCAGGTGACGACTCCCTCGCTTTATCATGTGCTTTATCATGAGTTTCAGTATCTGGTAAAATCACCTTATCTCCTTGTGTCAAAGATAAAATTAAACATTTTTACCAATATTGTGTTGCAGTTGTGCTTCATAAATTGGTCATCATTATTCATTTTGTCTAATTCTTTTTGTAATAACAGTTTCCGAGTGTGTGGAGTCATTGACAACATTGAATGACAGTTTAACTGATAGTATGATTGAGAAAGTCTCTAAAATGGAAAGATGTCTACAAGTGCTTGAGAGTGTGACATTTATGAATGCAGAAAACCAGGGTTATCTCATCACATTTGAAAATTTTCTATTAGTGTCATCTACAATCAAGTAAGTACTACATTATTACTTTCTCCTAGTGTAGATGAACAAATATCTGTTATTTGTCATCGTCATTTGTGTTAACATTTTATAAACAAAAGGGTAGGCTTGGGTCATTTTCCAGATTAAATTTAAATTCATAGTGTTTTGTTATTTAGATTTTCATGGACAATAGAAAGACAACACATAGAAGCACCCAACCATGTTACAAAAATACCTGCTTTTATGTGTATCTGTCATGGTTATTATTGGCCGAGTTCGACTCAGGCATGTTCTAGTACATTTCACTAGTAATTTAACTAAAAATGAAAACCACTTTTTTTCTCACTTCAGAGCTCTACGATTATGTGAGAGGTTTGTTCAAATCTATGCAGTTGATGAGGAATCTGATTCAAGTGAAGACATTAGTACAAGTAAAAAACCAGGAATTGTTATACGAAAGTGTCTCTTATCGGTGCTTAAATTACTCCTGAATTTGACACATGACAATGGTGAGTTTATTTGACTAGCAGTTAGAATCTACTTCCATACTATATCAGAAATGCTTTTCAATATCAACACATCATGGTACTTTTCAAATACATTTATTTAATAAAGGAAAACCAACTGAAATGAAATCTCAAACACAGATGTGGTGGAGGTGGTAGTGGTATACTAAAAAGTATATTACTCTCTACCAATGATGCATTCCTGAACACACACACCTATCAAGTATGTTATCAACATTTTCAATGTGCCAGACAATAAAAGATGTATTTTGAAGTAATGTCACAGGAATGAATGATTCTGTATTAAGCAATACATCATCCGTGTAAGTGAATATAAAAAAAAAGTCTTTATTATTTGCATGTGCCTAGTACTTTATGTGGGACATATGCACATGCAGTGGTTGAGTAAATAAAAATAAATAAATAGATGGGCAACTGGTTGCCATTTTGTTCTCTGAAAATGTCATACCTTTGTCAGTTTTTGTTCACATTTGGCACATTATACATGTTAGGAGGACATGTATATGATTGCTTTACAATCAGATCAAAGATAGCCACTGTAGATTACTAAATTATTCAATCTCAATTACTGACCATACGTATTTATCTGGTCACATGACCAGTGATTTGCATATCCAATTTGCTTACATATATTATGCATGTAGCGATACAAGTTCATAACAATTCAATTTGTAATCAGATAAAGACAGCAGCCATGCAACCATCTTGCTTTTATGGCCATACAACTTTATCTTAGGCATGAATAACATTCTTGGTGACTGCGGCATTAACAATGACGTGTTTTATCTTTTCTACAGAATGGGGAAGTACAAAAATTGGTGAAAGAGATGGATTGATACCGATGGCATTTTGTTGTCTTTTACAAACACCCCAGTATTTACCCATAGATCAGAGATTTGATATATTAGTATTGGTAAGTATCAAATGTATTATCAAAACTCAAATGTGTTAGAAATTGATATTTGAAAATTCTGTCATTTTCTCGGTTTATTTTTTAATTACTATAAGCTGCTTTAATTTTGTGAGAGACAAAGTTTTTGTGAATATTGCAAGTCAGTGAAAATCATAAACATTTTGTAACATTTTCTGACGTCATATGACACAGGGTGTACCAGTAAGTAACTTTCAACAAATTTTGTCTTCATGAATGCAATAACATTCTGAAATCATGAAAATGTCAAGCAGTGACAATTGAACAGGAGTGTATATGGGTATTCATGGCCAATGGAGTCAATAGTGCTACCCTTATTTGCCAAGGGCATTGAAGATACATGTAGATTTGTGTAGATAAAAAAAAAAAAAAGAAAGAAAGAAAAGGAAATCACTCAAAGAAGTTGAAAAAAATATGAATATTTGGTATTAATTAAACATGATGATTCGTGAAATAATACTGTCTTTACCAATTGTTAAAGCTACAAATGTTGTCATTGTCAAGTTCTTATATTTACTAATTCCTTCAAAACAATATATGTTTTATTTAGAATGACCAGTTGCAGTGCTTGGATGAATGATCAACACATATTTACAGTGGAATTTTTTTTCTTTCTTATCTTGACAGAGTTTGGGTCTTCTTATCAATTTAGTGGAACACAGTGCTAAGAATCGTAAAGCTTTAGTGGCCACCAATACACAGTTTTCCTATGATTCACAATCAGAGAACGAGAGCTGTAATTCAGTTGATGATGATGCTGTCTCATCCGTTGAAGCACTAGTTCAGGTAAGGAATTCTTCCTGTCAATGGTATAGCCGTTTGTGTGCTAATTTGTGAGGATAAATACAGAACATTGTGAACTTCTCGGTAAAAATATTGAGTGTGACATCAAATAAGTGCATGTTTCGTTGTAAATACATTTCAATTTTATCTGCGTAAGGGGGGTTGATATTACTGCATAAACATTTGATAAATCGTCAGAACCAGATAAACCAGCGAACAAAATTGTGTGTGCTTGTAATCAACACCCCCCATTTTCGCTTAAAAACCGGCTGTTGGCACTATAACTTGTTTATAGTTTTTTGAGTCTGTCATTGTTGGTTGAGGACCCAACATGTATGAGTTTTAATTGAGAGAGAACTGGAAATGTTGAAAAAGGGATGCTATAACAGCTGTCTGGAAATTATATGTATTAAGAAGAGATTAGACCTTGGTTGCTTTGGATTTGGCCATGGTCACCTAGAATGTACGCAGATACTGTGGTTATGGTTGATATAGATATCCATGGTTTGGTTTGGTTTGATAAAACATTTGTGATTAAAATGACCAGAAATCGCAAGTACGGGGCATGCCATGGTTGGATCCCGTGGCTGAATGGGCAAAGTGGTAAAATTGTACGTGTATTTCATTGTAGCTATTCTTACAACGAGAAAGAGCAGCAAAAGAAGCTGAGAAGCAGAAAGATGCTTTTAATGATCCTGAGCAACTAAACGACAAGAGTGGTAAATGGATAGAGTCAGAAGAAGGCCTTGAATGGGTTGTCATTCCTGAAAAAGGTGATAGTTCCCCACAGAATACCAAGGAAAAGGTTAAAAAATCAATAACAAAAGGTGAGATTTAGATGTATAATGTATATTCTCAGTAAACTTTAGGTATCGCATGCTATAATACTTTTTTATAGACAGGTGATTGAGTGTTATATTCTCATGATAGGTGCACAGTGTGCTATGGTTTGTCACAGTAACATTGGTGTTCAAATTAGACGTTACACCATATTTTTATACAGTGTACATTATATGAACTTTATGACAGTGATGTATGTAAACATAACATCCCCATATTACCTGTAATAGAAACAATATATCCCTAGTATTAACTCAATATTCCTGTTGTTCAATTGATGTTCATTTTGCATTAGTTTTACATTTGTATGATGCAATGAGTTACTTCTAAGCTATGTATGTATTTTGTTTCTCTTCATAGCCCTACATAAAGCAGGCAAGCAAATGGAAGATAGTATTGTAGCATCTTACATTGCCCTTCTAATTGGATGTCTTATACAAGATAACAGCGTAAGTAACCGTCTTCTTTTCTATACTGGTTTTTAGTTCCCGTTCGGACACAGTCCAAAAACAAGGACTTATAGATTGACCTCTATGCTTGCGTGTGTCCATGCATCCAAGCCTATATCCTAGACATGCCTGGACCAATTACTTGCAAACTTCACACATACATCATAATATACATATGCACATCAATATGTTTCATGATCTGATTCAAGATGGCCGAATGGTGGACATTTTTGTACTGAAAAATCATCAAAATCAACCATTTCTTGGCTGTTTACAGAAGTATTTTGTTTAAACTTGGTACATACATTGGACATTATGGGACCTTCATGCACATCATTTTGTTTTTCAGATCCGATTCAAAATAGTTGACTGACAGCCATTTGGTTTCAATCAATGCAGTTCTTGTGCCATATCTCTGACATGTTTTGACTGATTCAAATTTTATATATTCATTTTGCATCATGTATGTAATACATATGTAATGTATTGTTTTGATCATCCGATTAAGAATGGTCGAATGGTGGCCAGTTTGTTTTAATTATTGCTGTTCCAGGGCAATATCACTCAATATGGACATGTACTCATTTGATATGATCACATACAAGTTGACTGAATGTCAATCATTTTCAATGTTAAAAAAATCTTCATAATAAAGCATCAGCGTCTGGATCCATATCTCACATGTTTATGTTCCAATAATATTATAATTATATCAAAGAAAACTATCTTAAATTTGATAACTAACTGGGACTCTGCCATGCATGGCTTGTTTTTTTATAAATTCACTGCTTGTTTCCCAGAGGCGTTTTCACAAATTTGGTACTAATGCAAAGAATAATGGTTTGAATGTTGTTGTCACATAGTTTTGGAATGCAATGAAATTTGGTCAACTGGTAGCCATTTTCATAAAAAAAATACAAAATTGAATATGTAGTCAGGCATATGAACATCATGGTATGAACATTACACATTATGAGTTACCAGAGCACACAAGTTTGCTCTTTGATATAATTCTATCTGGCGGCCATGTTGGTTTTATTTTCATGTGTTCTTAAATAGTTCTTAACATGCTTTGGCTTATCTTGTTGATGAAAGTTGGTACAAAAGACTTAATGTATTTTGATGACCTATTGGTGGCTATTTTTGTCTCAAATTTCTGTTCCCCATATATCTCAAGCATGCCTTGGCTAATTTCATTCAAACTTGGTACATGTATGAACAACATGTATAATGTTTGTGTAGGCATGACGAAAACTGAAAACTCCAGTGAGTGAGAAACTCAGTCACTCAACTGGGTGATTGTGTTGTCTAGGATATTTGTGGAAATGCTCACCATAAGTGGTTTGAAGAAACTCTCCTTAACTTTATTTTTCTTCCATTTGACAGCAAACATTAACGAAGGTCAAGCAGTTTCTTCCTCAAGGTGATTTTAGCGGTATGGTTGAAATGCTCACCAAGTTTTTGGATTTTATGAGTCTCACAGTAAGTTATGGTAGATTTGTCATTGCAAAATTCAATAATTGTGAGAGCAGGTAGTGTTTTTAGACATTATGCTTTGAATATTCATGAGTAAATGCCTGTATTTGGAAGATATGCTTTGAATATTCATGAGTAAATGCCTGTATTTGGAAGATATGCTTTGAATATTCATGAGTAAATGCCTGTATTTGGAAGATATGCTTTGAATATTCATGAGTAAATGCCTGTATTTGGAAGATATGCTTTGAATATTCATGAGTAAATGCCTGTATTTGGAAGATATGCTTTGAATATTCATGAGTAAATGCCTGTATTTGGAAGATATGCTTTGAATATTCATGAGTAAATGCCTGTATTTGGAAGATATGCTTTGAATATTCATGAGTAAATACCTGTATTTGGAAGATATGCTTTGAATATTCATGAGTAAATACCTGTATTTGGAAGATATGCTGTAAATGTTCATGAGTAGATAACAGTATTGAGAGGATTATCTGTGACATATTGTCCATCATATTATTTAACTTTGTTATTATTTGGAAGCATTGAGAGCACATGTTACTGCTTCTTTAATCAGGTGAAACATAGTAACTAATGAAGTATTTTTTCATCAACTGCTTTCTTCTTTTCTAAAAACATTGTTTTGTTATATACCCACATATATTGTTTTATATATCCGCAGGTGGCTGCTGAAACTAAGGGCACCAAATCAATATCTAGAGTAATAGAAGTATTGGAAACCAGCTAGCAAACCTGCCAACAATTTTATACCTCACAATTGTTCTGTTTTTTAATTTTACCAGTTTTTCTGAAAAAATGATGTATATTACTGTATCAGATATAAACTGAATTATGGAAAACTAATTATATTCAATTATGATAGGCTATTCTTGTCTATGTATAGAAAATGAATTATCAGTCCATTTGTTAAAACAAAATTGGAGTGATAAAATTGATTTTCTACTTTCCTCCTAGGGAGGTGTATAATGTTGAGGTTTTGTTGCCAGTACTGTAAAAATGCATGCTTCTGTTTTCAACTTCATTGGTGATGCCCTTCAGGTGGTGGTCTCACACTGCTAAAAAAACATCAACTCTGCAAGAAAAAAATGTCAAATTCTAATATCGTCAGAGGTATAATGTTTCAGTTTACTAAGTTGTATTGCCCATCAGCTCTCCTCTAACTCACTTCCTTGATTATTTAGTACAATAATACAACTAAATACATAGTAGTGAAGCAACATTACTTTGATAAATTAGCTATTAAGAATTATCAGCTCATCAGTAAAGTGATATATATATATATATATTATATATATCCATATTTAATCACTGTTTCTGTTATCCATAAATCTGATATTCTTCGGGTGTGTCAACAAGATAATGTAGATTTTGATTTGTAGAGATGTTCATTCCATTTTATGACAATCCTACATGAAAATTGCATTTGTGCATCTATTTTCAAAGCATGATTCCTAGAAAGGGTTGAGCATTCTACAAGCTTCCACTGATTACAGTAATTGATAGCATGCTTGAGAAAACCTGAATCAGTCTCTGCTCTAGGAAACACTTTACTACTAAGTCTACCATTACTGGACTGGACTACTGGACGTTGTTTTGATTACGCTGTATTATTCATAGTTTATAAACGTCAAGTGAAAAATGGCAAGTCCCCTAGTGTGGAATTTGAACTACGACCTTCAGTGTGCAGAACTATGATATGCTAACCACTGCTGGGACTTCACTTGTCATTTCCCATTCTTTGGACATCAGTAGCTAATTTATTTTCAGTAGTCATTCATAGTTCAGTTTTCATATTTATTTAATATATTTTATTTAAAATCATGATATAAAGTAAAAATGTGACAAATAACCATGGAAATAATGTCTAAAAACAAAAAAGTAGGTCCCCTCTTGAGTACAATAGCGTGAAGGTGCCACAGCAACACTTTCCATTGAGTGTGGGAATGCAGTGTTTGAATAAAGTGCAGACAACAAAGCAGAATAAATGTTTCCCGGTAAATTATGTCTTAATGATCTGTTTGTCTCCTTAGTGGCGGTAGTCATCGTTCGGTGTCCTGTTCGATATGGGACTCATAGCGACGTATACAACGCGTGTAAAATATATTGTTTATTTACATGAAATTCGAACACGCGCTGCGCAAAGACCACTGCGCTTTAAGCAGCACAGAAATGTCAAGAAATGTACACACGATAAGATACAGCGATATTCAAATTTAACCTATGGCAGATTGGCCACTCTCACTTGATTGATGCTTGACAAATGAAGATTGTTGTGAACTTTGTGGTTTTATCAACTGTTTTACACAGGGTGTAGTATATTCTATTTAATACTTGGAGTTAGAGGAGAGTTGTATAGCATGTCTTGTTATATACATAGCATCACCTTGCATTGCAAAAAAAGCCATCCAGTGTTTATGTTTAATCTGTTCTGTTATTTTGGGGAAGTGTCGTACAATGCAGTGTTTGGGATTCCAGCATGTAAATAAGGCATACAACTAGGTTCTCAACATACACCTGATTTTTCAAAGTGCCTTTCTCTGATACTTTGTACATTAATACAGTTTGTCTTTTGTATCTCAGAGTTGAAAACTACAGTATTTAGTTTGAATAGACTTTTTAATATGTAGATCAATGCATATTTATAAATATTTCATTTTGTAATTACAAAAAAGACTTTTATAACTGTTTTGTGAACCATGGTTGCATATTTTAATTTTTTTTTTGTGGGGACAATGTAGGGTGAAAAAGTAAGGGTCATGCCTGGATTTGTTTTTACTCTATAGTCTGCTGTTTTCCAGAAATGCAACCTGTTTGTATATGTCAATTATAATTCCAATAATTGGTTCAGCACCAAGTCTTTTTATCAACATTGTATTATTGCCTTTTTTTCTGTAAGAATTTTTCACATTTAACTGATTGTTTTAAATGATATGAACTTTGTAAATAAAGAGCCTAGACATTTACTCCTTATCAAACTTACCAATATAGTATTCTGTCTTTTGGTCAAATGCCGTGACAGTTGAGAGGCACAGCCCACATAATATCGCAGTCACCAACCACATTTCATGAGTGAAATAAGATGTCATCTGAGAGAAATGAGCAGTCGGATGATTCCATCTGAGAAATGAGTAGTAGGATGATGTCATCTGAGAGATGAGCAGTAGGATGATGTCATCTGTGAGAGAAATTGTGTAGTAGGATGTCATCTGAGAGAAATGAGGAGTAGGATGATTCCATCTGAGAGAAATGAGCAGTAGGATGATGTCATCTGTGAGAGAAAATGTGTAGTAGGATGATGTCATCTGGGAGAAATGAGCAGTAGGATGATGTCATCTGAGAGAAATGAGCAGTAGGATAATGTCATCTGAGAGAAATGAGCAGTAGGATGATGTCATCTGTGAGAAATTGTGCAGTAGAATGATGTCTGAGAGAAATGAGCAGTAGGATGATTTCATCTGAGAGATGAGCAGTAGGATGATTTCATCTGAGAAATGAGCAGTAGGATGATGTCATCTGAGAGGAATGAGCAGTAGGATGATGTCATCTGAGAGGGAAATTGTGCAGTAGGATAATATCATCTAAGAAATGAGCAGTAGGATGATGCCATCTGAGAGGAATGAGCAGTAGGATGATGTCATCTGTGAGAAATGAGCAGTAGAATGGTGTCGACTGAGAGAAATGAGCAGTAGGATGATGTCATCTATGAAAAATCATGTAGTAGGATGATGTCATCTGTGGGAGAAATGAGCAGTAGGATGATGTCATGCAAAAGAAATCGTGTAGTAGGATGATGTCATCTGTGAGAGAAATGAACAGTAGAATATATTTGAGAAATGAGTGTGGGCTGGTGTCTGAGAGAAATTGTGAATAGTAGGATATCTGCGAGGGAAATGAGTGCAGTAGGCTCATGTCTGAGAGGAATGGGTGCAGTAGGAATGATATCCATGAGAGAAATTATGTGTAGTATGAATGATGCCATCTGAGAGAAATGAGTAGTGGGATGACTTCAGCTGTGAGAGAAATCACGTGTAGTAGAATGATGTCATCTGAAATAAATCCCGAGTGAAGTAGGTTGAAGTCATCTGTGGGAGAAGTGAGCAGTAGGAAGATGTCATCTGAGAGAAATAGGTGTAGTAGGATGATATCTGAAAGAAATCATTAGCGTATTTGTATGATGTCATCTATGAGTAAAATCATGCGTAGTGGGAATAATGTCATCCGAGCAAAATGAGTGTAGTAGGATATTGTCACTTGGGAGAAATCATGAGTGAAGTAGGCTGATGTCATGGGCTGATGGGCCCAATAATTGTTGGGGGATAGTAACAAACTTATACTTAATTGGACTTTTTATCATCTTGGCCAGTCAGATTGTCATCGTCACCTTAGATTCCTGATACTAATGTAATTATTAGAGTTACATGCGGGGACATCATCATGCTAGTCTAATCAGTTCAGTGCAGGCATTTCTGTAAGTATATTCATCCTATACTACGCCTGTCTACTTAAGTAACCGTGTGAATAGAATTTACACCTGGTCTTACAATGTGTGAAATTATTTTCAATTATTGCACTGCATTTGGCAAGCCTATATTCACACTTGAATATTCAAAATTACTGTACTGTAGGATTGTCCCAGTTGGCTGGTATATTGACTTAATTGACTTAATGTGTGTTTCTTCAGAACCAAATTCTAGCTTATGTAATCATTTTTCTTGTCAGAGCCAAGATTAACAAACACTAAGCTACTCCATCACCATCACACTCAGTTTGGTTTACGGCTGCTCAGAATAATCACTTGTTACTGTTACCTGACATAGGGATTCCTGTTGAATTTAGGGAGGAGATTTCTGATATGTCTTCCAAAGTCGACAAATGTTGCCAATCAATCTAGAGTGACCACATTTTGTAACAAGGTACAAGTCTAGATTGACCACACCTTGCAACTTAACCAATGTACAAGTCTAGAATGACCACACTTTGCAACTTAACTAAGGTACAAGTCTAGATTGACCATACTTTGCAACTTAACCAAGGTACAAGTCTAGATTGACCACACTTTGCAACTTAACCAAAGTACAAGTCTAGATTGACCATACTTTGCAACTTAACCAAGGTACAAGTCTAGATTGACCACACTTTGCAACTTAACCAAGGTACAAGTCTAGAATGACCACACATTGCAACTTAACCAATGTACAAGTCTAGATTGACCACACTTTGCAACTTAACCAAGGTACAAGTCTAGAATGACCACACATTGCAACTTAACCAAGGTACAAGTCTAGAATGACCACACTTTGCAACTTAACCAAGGTACAAGTCTAGGTTGACCACACTATGCAACTTAACTAAGGTACAAGTCTAGATTGAACATACTTTGCAACTTAACCATGGTACAAGTCTAGAATGACCACACATTGCAACTTAACCAAGGTACACGTCTAGGTTGACCACACTATGCAACTTAACCTAGGTACAAGTCTAGATTGACCATACTTTGCAACTTAACCAATGTACAAGGCTAGATTGACCATACTTTTCAACTTAACCAAGGTACAAGTCTAGAATGACCACACATTGCAACTTAACCAAGGTACACGTCTAGGTTGACCATACTATGCAACTTAACCAAGGTACAAGTCTAGATTGACCATACTTTGCAACTTAACCAATGTACAAGTCTAGAATGACCACACATTGCAACTTAACCAATGTACAAGTCTAGAA